AGTAACCCAAAGTGACAGGATAGAAGTGCCCCACAGGGCTTCCTAGGCTACAGTCCTTTCAGAAGCAAGTTGCCAGGTCTTTTTGCCCATGGAGCAGGTGGTGGGTTCAAACTGCCAGTCTTTAAGCTAGCGATAAGCTCTTAACCACTGCATCACCAGCATTCTGTTAACTGTACATTGTTGTTAAGTGCTGTCAAATCAGTTTTGACTCCTAGCGACCCTGTAAAGGGTTTCCAAGGAGTGACTGGTGGGTTTGAACCACCGACGCGGTTAGCAGCCCAGTGCTTATCCAACAGGGCCACACCAAGACACTGTAGACATACAAAAATTATTTGAAAAAGAAAAAGTATTAGCCTAAATCCTTTAGTATTTGATTTTGCTGAGTGATAATCCCAGAGTCTACTGCTAATAAAATTAATAAAATCTGGTTCCTTTTAAAATCATGTACCTGGTATAAATTGCATTTGAACATTGGTAGAAATTCAAGCACTTGTTTGCAGCATACAATCATTGTGTGATGAACAGGAAAAAGGGCGAAGCATCTATTTACCCCTGCAGAGTGAGTTCTACTATCCTTAGCCCACATGGTCTCCGACCATTCACTCACGAATCATTAACGTATGAACCTGTGTGTGTATGTGTTTTGACACCTACTGATATGCATGTGGTCATATGCATGTAAGAATGTAAACATGTAGGGAGCAAAAACAGAAACAACCATCTTGAGTATGGTTTTAAAAGAACTGAATATTTGAAAAGCCTCATTAGAGCCAGAATTTGATAGAATCAGTATTTGTTGTTGAACAGTTCCAAACTGGCAACTGCTTAGCCTGGAATACTGTGATAAAGCGAACACCTGGGCTGGTGGCCAGTTCCTAGCAGCCTCACTATGAGACAGTCTTTTACTTCTGGTTTGTTTCAGGCTCTGACCCGCTTTTCTGATGATAAGACAAGGCTCCATTGCCATTGCAGGGCCCTGAACATGAAGGTCTAAATCAGTTTGGAACTTCCTGTTTGCCCACGTGAGTGCTACTACCAGAGAATCCTTATGAACTGACTTGGAATACTGGAGATGAAATGATCCCTTCCAAAGAGATGCTTTGTGCTATTGACACGTGTCACACACACACACAGAGCCAGATTTAACAGAGAACCGTACAGAGCCTCTACTTCGTTAAAAGAAAATTCTAAAGTTTGAGTGCAAAAATAACAGCAATGCTTTTTCCTTTACAGCATTTTTTTTTTTTTAATGAAGGAAACTAGGGCCAAACCTCTGAAAAGTATCTGCAGCCTTCATGCAGTATTGATTTGCCCATCTTTAAGATTTGACCACAGAGTCAAAATAGCCAAATAGCCAAACTTCAGCCCCCAAATTAAGAGAAGGGTGAATGATAATGATGCTAAGGAAGAAAGGGGGACACCTGCTGATAAAATAGTGAAGACTCAGGAACTATCAAAATCTTTCTTCTCTGCCTTTCCTTAACTTCCAATTGTCCCGTTTCAGAAGTGGCAGTAAAAAATAAGGCCAAGGCTGGCTGGAGGAAAGAGGGTAAGGAAGTCATTTTCAGTGACATCCTTCTACCAGCCGTTTCTTCTTCACTCCCCACCAGCACCCTATCTCTGTTCTCTGTCCAATTCCCTGGAGATAAGGGAAGCTATTTCAGTAGCCCACTGAAATAGCTCTCCCAAAGGACGCTGCATTTTAACAGGATACCCTTAAGTGAAGAAAACTCACTGTAATTCTGGGCAGTGCCAGCTTGCTGGGGGGAGGAGGCAGGGCATTCCTCAAGTCCTAGGGCTCTTAAGAGTGTTTCTTCCCTTAGTTCAAGTCAGGAAGGCAGTTCAGCTTTCCAACTACTTCAGCATAAACACCCAGCTGTGAATCCTTTCTACTGCCAATCTGGCTCTCTGTCTCTAGACTGCTAATCCCTGGGAGGCACCCACAGCTCATTGGCACATGCCCTGCCCTTGACTAAGCTTTAGGAAGGAGACCCCACACACCATCACCCTGGGGTTTAGGGCATGGATATTTGCTAGAAGGGTGTGCCCTGAGAAAGGAGAATCTGGTCTGTCAGGAATAGGGTGGGAGCAGGCCTTTGGAAAGAAGGCCTATGGTGACTAGCAATAAAGTAGCTTCTAAAATTATTCAACAGAAAGGTAAGAAATAGGTTCTTATTATTCATTCCAAAAGTGGTCAGGCTCAGATTATAAAGCATCACACTAATTATTAAAAAAAAAAAAGACATCAGAACAGAATTTTATATCAATTTTACTATATGACTAATTCTAATTCTGCTAAATGAATCCTTATTTTCCTACCATATTTAATGACTCAGTACTAAAGTTCTGTTTCCCAATGTATTTTTTATGTTTCTGTTTTTTCAGCAAGTAAATATAGGAAGTCCCTGGATTATGAATGAGTTCTGTTCCTAAATCTGTTCCTGAATTTGTACATAAATCGGAACAGTTAAGTACAGCTCATATCTAATGTCAGTCGAATGTTTGTCTTAATATATAGTGTACCTTTCCATGCCTAAAACATTAAAGAAACCCTTCCAGAGACATGTATAACATAATAGAATGATTTTGATATGCATAGCTGAGTTGTGCCCATTTGTTATTATGAATCACTGTGCCTTAATTTTTTCATACAACAGACTTGATGGGGAGGAGCTGGTTCTTCACTCCAGGTTGTATGTAAATCAGACATTTGTAACACAGAGATCGCCTTTACTGGAGAAAAAAAAAAAAAAAAAGTCATTTGCCCTTTTTAACGAACACCAGAAGCATATTTTACCTGCCAGAACTTACTCTACATGACCCAAGATGAAATGGTCACTATTGTTCACCCTAGGAAGCAGGTGCCTCAGAGAGATTTATCCTCTATTTAATCCTCATTTCAAGGACAAGCCTAATAAATAGTTTTCCCTCCTGAGACTAGTGTACCAGCTGACTAAGTGCCCATTTTACTTCATGTCTGGGGAGTTTAGGGGTCTCCAGTTTAATAGGGGCCACGGTACTAGTTATCAAATTGACCTGACCTCTGAAAGCAGCTGTAAAACGATGCCTAGTAAATAAATTAAGATAAATGCCAAATCCCTCTGAGGAAACAGGCCTATGTTATTACTATAAAATGGGCATTTGGGGTTAGGGTCAAGACTTCCCAATAAGGATATCAATACCAGCTGGGCATGATGGGAAGGCATGTTCTTAGTTTTTGTACATACAAGATAATAGTGACTTGCTTTGCTCAATATTATGCATGGCTGAAGATTTTAAACTCCTTTTTAGAAATGAGACAATTGTACCACAGGGTAAAAATTTTATTATCCTCAATAATAGGATTGAATATGCCAAGGCGTGGAAGCAGAAAATTAGATTTGCTGATCCCAGCACCAAGACAAGGATTAGGGAAAGTCACAATTGGTCACTTGGTGGTCTTTCCAATGTTTCCCGGGCCTGGAAACCCAGGGAGGCACAGTGGGGAAGTGTCTGATTCCAACCACAAGAGGCAGGAGAAGCCATTTTAGATCAGGTCCTGGACACTGGAATGGAGTCAGAATATGGGCATGTATGATATCTCTGCTGTTCTAGTGTTACTGGACTACTAACCACGGAGGCAAAGGCACTAAGACATTAAGAAAAGAGGTCACTGACCTGGCTCTCTCCCTCAGAGGCCATTGCCCAATAATGCAAAATGGCCAGAAGTGTCACTACCTGCTTGATGCACCATTTCAGAACAACCAGAATTAGTCAAGCAAATCCTTGAAGAGAAAATGCAAGCAATTAAAAAAAATGTAAGGTATACACCCTCATCCTTGAATTCTAACTTTCATCCCTTGAATGGAGAGTTCATATGAAATCTGTTCCTTCTGCATTTTCTTCCATCCTCCCTCTTCATTCAAACTGGTTCCTACTTATTTTGCTTTCTTCTGCTTCTTAGATTTATTGCTTCCTGCCTTCATATTTGGGAAAGAAAAAAACAGGCTGTGATTTCGTTTTCTGTCAAGGCTCACATTAAATACTGTGCCTCTTTCTCACTAAAGCCATCCACATGGCCAAATTAAAATGAGGTGACAGGGCGTTAACTCAGAACCCACTGCCCACTGCCCACTGCCTACCTCTGTGCTGACCTCCAGCCAGACTTGTGGGACTGACAAGCAAAAATGATGAACACTTCACTGGAGTGTCCCACCAGCCTACAGAAACAAATCCTCTGCAAATTGCACCAACTAAGCTACACTCCACAAGAAGAGACAGGCACAAGTCCACTCAGCTTTCTTGCTGTTTTTTTTTTTTTTTTTATTGATTAATTGCTGCCAGTATGTTTGTTTGTTTTTTGTTTTTTGTTGTTTTTTTTTTTTTTTTTTGGTGGTGGTGTGGGTAACTGGGTGGTGAGTATTCCAAAGCAAAAAGTTTATTCAAAAAAATCAAATGTGTTTGTACAGATGTTATGTAAGAGGAAAATGTGGCGCTTTATATTTTAAATGGTAACAGACTATTAGAATAAGGTGTTTTATAAAGGAAAAACAAAATTCCAATACTATCTTTGGTAATCCAAAGCAACAAAAGTATACCTGCTCTGTCCAAGTTCCCCAGTCCCCCACAATCAGGCGCACACATCTTGTTTTAGGGCCATGTTTAGACCTTGATTAAAAGTGATTTATCCAACATAGGCATCCCAGTATGAAAGGACAGGCCAGCCTTTACTAAGCTTTTCTGTAAATACCACTCAGCTTTCTTATGCCAGAAGGAACACGAAGAGCTTAGCTCTCCTAGCTGCCCATTCACAATCCATTACAATGTATGGCTCACCCAAACAGCTGTCTGTCTCTCCATAGGAGAAGTGCATTTGAAGGCCTGTCACCACTAGAGCTGATTATGTTTCCTCTGACCTAGCAATTTCCCATGACCAAGTTGGTTCGCTGCTCCCTTTTGAGAGATGAGGTCATTAAACTTTTGCTGTGGTCTTTTTCTGCACCCTCCTCCCCCCCCCTCAGGTCATGGATTATATGGGACTTTTGAAATGTTATCCTCCTGGAGGAAAACTAGAGAAGACCAACATGTTAAAGAGAGAACTGCAGCCGTCTATGCAGACTCCATGCTCTCCTTTTCTCTCACCACTGCCATGTACCTGGTCACCTTTGGCATAGGGGCCAGCCCTTTCACGAACATTGAGGCAGCCAGGATTTTCTGCTGCAATTCCTGTATTGCAATCTTCTTCAACTACCTCTATGTACTCTCGTTTTATGGTTCCAGCCTGGTGTTCACTGGCTACATAGAAAACAATTACCAGCATAGTATCTTCTGTAGAAAAGTCCCAAAGCCCGAGGTATTACAGGAGAAGCCGGCATGGTACAGGTTTCTCCTGACAGCCAGATTCAGTGAGGACACAACTGACGCTGAGGAAGCGAACACATCCGAGAGTCACCTATTGGTATGTTTCCTCAAACGCTATTACTGTGACTGGATAACCAACACCTATGTCAAGCCTTTTGTAGTTCTCTTTTACCTTATTTATATTTCCTTTGCCTTAATGGGCTATCTGCAGGTCAGTGAAGGGTCAGACCTTAGTAACATCGTAGCAACTGCGACGCAAACCATTGATTACACTACTGCCCAGCAAAAGCACTTTAGCAACTACAGCCCAGTGATTGGGTTTTACATATATGAGTCCATAGAGTACTGGAACACTAGTGTCCAAGAGGACCTGCTCGAATACACCAAGGGGTTTGTGCGGATATCCTGGTTTGAGAGCTATTTAAATTACCTTCGGAAACTCAATGTGTCCACTGGCTTGCCTAAGAAAAATTTCACAGACATGTTAAGGAATTCCTTCCTGAAAGCCCCCCAATTTTCACATTTTCAAGAGGACATCATCTTCTCTAAAAAGTACAACGATGAGGTCGATGTCGTGGCCTCCAGAATGTTTTTGGTGGCCAAGACCATGGAGACCAACAGAGAAGAACTATATGATCTCCTGGAGACTCTGAGGAGACTTTCTGTCACCTCCAAGGTGAAGTTCATCGTCTTCAATCCATCCTTTGTGTACATGGATCGATATGCCTCCTCTCTGGGAGCCCCCCTGCACAACTCCTGCATCAGTGCTTTATTCCTGCTCTTCTTCTCGGCATTCCTGGTGGCAGATTCTCTGATTAATGTCTGGATCACTCTAACGGTTGTGTCCGTGGAGTTTGGAGTTATAGGTTTCATGACATTATGGAAAGTAGAACTGGACTGCATTTCTGTGCTCTGCTTAATTTATGGAATTAACTATACAATTGACAATTGTGCTCCACTGTTATCCACATTTGTTCTGGGCAAGGATTTCACAAGAACTAAATGGGTGAAGAATGCCCTGGAAGTGCATGGGGTAGCTATTTTACAGAGTTACCTCTGCTATATTGTTGGTCTGATTCCTCTCGCAGCTGTGCCTTCAAATCTGACCTGTACACTGTTCAGGTGCTTGTTTTTAATAGCATTTGTCACCTTCTTTCACTGCTTTGCCATTTTACCTGTGATACTGACTTTCCTGCCACCCTCTAAGAAAAAAAGGAAAGAGAAGAAAAATCCTGAAAACCGGGAGGAAATTGAGTGTGTAGAAATGGTGGATATTGATAGTACCCGAGTGGTTGACCAAATTACAACAGTGTGATAGTGTTTTCACCCTAGGTCTTATCAAAAGCAAGGAGATTATGTTAATGAAATAATGGAGAGAAAAGGGTTTTTGTTCTGTTTTTGTTTTTTGTTTTAAGGATAAGAATCAGACACTCCTAAAAGCAAAGGGCAAGGGGGGAGAAATGAGCGTGGCATGCTTTCAAGTTTTAAAACAGAAAGTATCTTATGAGAAAGAATTAACAAACACACACACACACAGACCCTAGAAGATGTCTAGCCTCTTCAATTAAGACAAAAGAAAGCATATTAGCAAGCAGGATCCTATTCTATGAACACCGCAGATGCTGCGATTGTGACATAATGTACTAATTTTAAGGCCAACTGTCAAAGTGAAAACCGCATTAAGTGTTGTTCAGGGGCAGTGGTTGCAGATCTTAGCCATTGCACCTAGCTCCCCAACACCCCAAGGAGATGATTGTGCAAGTTCTGACCAACACAAGCAAAGCTAGAACTTCAGAAGTAGACACACAGAGGGGCCATCACCCCAGAATGAAATTGAGTTGACCCTAAATTCACCTGAGTGAGGTAGATTTGTTACTTAGAATGTATGTATGTTAGCCCATCAATATAGGTTCAACATTCATATGGTTTGGTTAATATACCTTTAAACCAACGACATTTCCAGCATTGCAGATTCTATTTTTGAATATCTTGTTGCTTGTCACTGAATGTGTCTGCTTTATTAGTTACAGTTCTTGGCAGGAGACTCTGAATATCCAAAATCAGAGTGCCAGACCCATACCTGGCATGATAGAGGAAGAGCAGGTGTCTACTGTGAACCCATTGACAACATCTCCATTTTAACAGAAAAAAACAAAAACAAAACCAAAAAACTGGCCAGCTGGGACAGCTGTTTGTAGTTTGGCCCTACAAACTTTTTGCATGGATGCCCAGAAACAACATCTGCCCACACGTAGCCGAGGAAGGAAAAATGAACACTGAAATGATTACTTGTCGTAGCTTCCAACGTGTAGTGCCAGCTTGCCTTTGCTGGGAGACATGCCTGCTAAGACCCATAGAGGGGACAAGAGGCCTAGATTGAGTGTAAGTCCTAAACTGATGGAAGTCATAGATGTGCAGGGAGATAAAAGGCTGAAAGGGAGCTAGACAAAAATGACTGGAAAAAGGAAATGCCAAGATAAATTCATAGATGACGGAAATCAAACTTTCCTGGGTTCTTTTACAAGTTTCATTCCCAGCAAAACTGGCTGCACTTTGTCACTTTCCTGCCCCACCTGCCTGTCTCAGACACCTTTCTGGTGCCCTCCTATTTCATTGTGAGACCCTTCTGTGCATTAACAAGCCTACATGTTTATACTGTTGACCTGCAGTATATAGAGGGAGAGGTCATAGATCAGAACAGAAATGGTTTGCTCTGAAAAGGCTGTGTGTGCCACACCAGGCCCTAGCCTTTCTTTAAGTCTGTAGAATAAAACTAAAACCTGGTCCCATTTGAGGCAAATGTCCACAGTGTTTTTCTCTTTTCAAGATGTAGCTTATCTAGACATTTATAGTGGTAAGTAGCTTATCTTTCTGGACCTTTGTGAACATACAACTCCACCACTTTCCACAGAAGAGGAAACAGACCTAGGAGAACAAAGCGCAACTCAGAGTTGCACCATTAACCTAAGGCAGGAGAGGCCAATTTTAGATTTTCTCATAAGATGACTATTGTACTGTCGAGTCGGCTCTGACTCATAGTGACCATGTATAGGGTTTGCGAAGAGCGGCTGGTGGGTTTGAACCACCGACCTTGCAGTTAACAGTCCAGTGCTTATTCTACAGCGCCACACCAGGACTATTACACCCCTCAAAATATATTTCTAAGGAAGGGACATAGGGCAGACACTTTTTTTAAAAAAATACTTTTGGAATTTAGGTTTGCAATGATCTTTCTAAATAGCAAAACTGATTCCGATATAACCGCATCAAGTACAAAGCTGTGTCCCTCCCTCTATTGTATGTATTGTTATCCACACAGTGCTGAATACATGTGCAGGGGATCCTAGCTAGTATACAAAACACTTGCTCAATCTTCCCTGCAGACACTAAGCGAGCATACCAACATGTTATACAAGCAACCAGAAGATAATGAGCTTTAATCTGAGGACAAGTATGATCCTCCCAAAAGGGCAAGTGTGCAGAATCAATCTGCAATCAATTCTCATTCCAAGGGGCCTGCAACCTGGCTATTATTTATAAAACACAACTTCAGATGGGGTTGGCTTTATTCTTAAATCATATGTTGCTAAATCGTTTTCTGAATAGTGTGTTCTCAACCAGTCACTGATTTAGTGTCAGCCACGTGGGGCCCCGTGGCTTAAAGTGACTCCACAAAACTAACACAACACACGTGCACACCAATTCAATGAATTTTGCTGAGAATTTAATTGTTCAATTTGGTCAACCAGAATGACTTACTGTGGAACTTTGTTTTATGACAGATGAGAGTCTTCCAACTAGATTGAATCTCTGTATATTGTATTGTTTAAATGAAGGGCATTTTCAAATTTGTCAACTTCTTGTTTCAGCGCTTGAAATCAAGGCTTATGGAACTCGGACTGTGGAATGAATGTTTTCTACTGGGGGACTCTGCATGCCAAGATGTATTTTTTATTGTTAGATCACTATTATTTATTTGTTGATATTGAGTATTAATTATTGCTCGGACAGCATTAGTTTAGCCCCACCATGGAGAAGACACTTTACAAGTAAATCTGAATCACATCCCCATACAATTTTAGTCTTCATGAAGTTTTACTTTTTGAATTAATATAAAGAGGGAAGGAATGATCCTAGCAAACACTTATCATTTTTATTTTATTTTTTATTAATCCCAACCAAGACATTCATGTCCACTTTACCAAAGAAACTTACTTGGTTGGTTTTGAGTTGGTGTTTGTTTGTTTGCCAAAGAAAATAGCCCATTCATAAAAAGTACTTCCACTGGCCAATTGAAAAACTGTAATAGGTGGGCTTTCTTGGCCACTCATAAGGAAAACAAGGAAAAGCCAGGGTAAGGGCGATAATCTCTCATTGGGTAAAGCTCAGAAGAAGATGAGGTTTGCAAGAAAGAAAATGATACTTGAAATAGAACATTTTTGGCAATCCTACAACAAATTTCCAACAAGTAGCATCACTGTTCCTCAGACTAAAAGAAGTACATTTTTGTTTCAGAAAAAAAATAAATAAATAAGGCAATCCCCTCATGAAACTTTCTCCCCATTCTTCCAGCTCATACGTTTTGTTTTGGAGTTTTGGGTTTGAAGTGTTTTGGTGTTTGGTTTGGATAGCCATTTGTTTGTGTTTATTTGTCTTACTCCTGCCTTCCCTACCACTTTGACCACCTCAGTTTTCATTCGGACATGAGCCCTCCACGATCACAGTTATGTATACGATGTACTGCTCTTGATCAAAGCTTTTTGTTCCCCCACCCCATCTTTAAAAAAAAAAAAAACTAACCATCACCCAATTGTTCTAAGTGGCATTCTAGAACCATGACACCACTTTTCTCCAGTCACACTGACCAAGCTTGGCTGTGTCTATCTCAAGAATCGGTGGGCTGGGTAGCTGTCTTAGGAGTGTGGTGTGAGGCAGGGCTTCTCGGACACAAATGTTACCCTCCTCATGACTGCTTTATTCCTTTGGATTCTATTAAAGTACCCCTGCAGCTTGTAGCAGTGTTTGACCTCTGTGAATCTCTCTTTTCTCGTCTGTAAAATGGGGATAATAACAGTTGTTGTTCTTGTTGCTATTATGTAACCTCGAATAAGTTCTGACTCATAGTGATCCTGTATAGGGTTTTCAAGAGCAAATGGTGAGTTTGAACTGCCGACCTTTTGGTTTAGCCGTCCAGTGCTTATCCTACAGCACCAAACCAGGACTCATAATACCAGTAACTGTTTTTAAATTCAACAAATACAGAGTGCCTAATGTCACCCAGACACTGTTAGAGAGACTGAGGAGAGCATAACATTCAGCAAAACAGATAAAAATTCTGTCCTCTGTAGAACATAGATTTGGGCGATCTTGTAGGCTTACTGTGAGGATTAAGTGAAAGAATGTTGGGAAAGCACTCATGGTAACACCTAGCATACAGAAGGAACCCAAGACATTGCTGTAAATTGTCTCAATGGGTGACATTAGGACTCAGGATGCAAAGCTACAGGGAAGTAGATTTGGGCCCAGGATTAGGATTGTATAAAGTACTGTGGGGGGTTCCACAGGAGATAGTGAACTCCCAGTTACTCAAATTAAGCTGGTTTACCACTCAGTTGGGCACCAGCCCTGGATGTTGGAGACAGACTACAATCTTTGAAGGAACAGTATACAGGCACTTGTGGGTGGGAGTGAAGGCAGGGCACTGACTAATAACTTTGCCTGACTTATTTAAAGACATTTGGAAACTTTTTTTAGATAATTTGCTTTAAGTTTATGATAAATAAAATGTATCAGGTATTTAAAGACATAAAGTTCTTTTTTTTTTAAGCATGTTAAAGCTCCAACACAAAGCAAACTATTAAATTAGCACTACTGGATTTGCTGGCAAAGAACTGAGGATGACTGTCGCCAGTACATTGCAGAATTCCTCCCCGTGGTGGTTACAACTGTTTATTTCTGTTTCATGCCAGTCCAGGAGAAAGCAAACAGGAAAGTGAATGAGCTAGAATATGTTCAAGTGAATAGGCAGTGTCAGTATGTCCTCCAATCTGCCTCCCCTCCTGCCCCCTCCTCTGCCCAGGTGATCTGTTTGAAGTCGTCTTTGATGTCTATGAGGGCACAATGCCAGGAAGAGGAAGACAGGCAATCTGAGAGCTATGGCTACTGTGTAGGTTTTCGAGTATGATGACGATTAGCATCGAAACAGTGAGGAGGAGCTTTCCTGGTAGGGAACCAAGGCTTATTTTCAAAGTACAAAGAAATATGTACAAAGGAGGCAGAGACAGATTACCCAGTAAATAAAGTATGCATTGACTTGTGCTTACTTACTGATCTGTAGTGCACAATTTCACATTACAGATTAATACGTAAAC